AAACAACTGTTTCCAACCTCTAGAGAAACCTCACACCTGACTTCTGATTAATATTCCGGCTCCACTATATGCAGGCTAGAGTTATTGTAACAAAAATAATTCATTTGGAAAAAGAGTGAAACAAACAAAAAACATGCAAAACTCTGTCGTGTGCTCAATTATTACTGGTGTGGGAAGGAGGGGGTCTGGCTACAATCCGGTTCCCAGCAAAGGGAATTTATTTGTCCAGTCAAATTCACTACCTAAAGGATAGCTTCCAAATACATTGTGTCATCACCACTGAATGTTATTTCTGAAGAATACCAACTGCGTGTCAAATTTGTACTGGTATGAAGAGTGCTTAGGAACAAATTGTTTTTGTTCCACAGACAGAAACATGCAAGTATCATGTGGGTTTCCTTCCGGGTAAAGTAGAAGCTCTAGCAGATTCAGTGAACAAGACCAACAGTGGGTCTAACTGTTAAGAAGATTGTTTCTGCATGTACTCTAGAGGGAAGTGAGGGGCAGATGGGGCTTGGGAAGGCAGCCCAACTAGGAGAAGGAAAACTCTGATCCTAAACATCGGCTGCTTTGCAGGACATCGTCAGGAGAAGAAAAGGCTAAGGAGTAAACCCTATACAAGACGACTGGATGACGCCTTCTCTGCCCCCTTCGCCAACTCCTGCATCCAAGCTGGTGCCAAATGTATTGCTCTGCTTTCCTACGGACCACATCAGCGAGGCCGAGAGTGGAGTCTTGTTGATTGGGTAACCCAGGACCTCCATGCAGTCTGCTCAGGCTTGCACCCCAGGGAGGTCACTTTGGAGCTGTTAATGCAACAATTTGTCTTCACCCCCGGAGGGGGCACTCCATTGTCTCTTGAGACAGGCAGATGCCAACAACAACAACAACATATTCAATGGCATTGCAGGTCAATGCCTGTATGGGACAGCTGCATATTCCTGCTAATTCAGGGAGTTGGACTAGATGATACTGAGGGTCCCTTCCAACTCTACAATTCTATGGTTCTATGGCAAGTTCTATCACCAGGAAGAGTTCAGCATCCAGTGGTTTTCTCAATGAAGCCTGGAGAGAAGTAGGAAATGCTAGTGGTATAAAAGGGGGGGGCAGGAAGGAGGTAATAAGGGATGGCAAACAAAAAAGGAAGGTGGAACCACACAGGAAATGGGAAGGTTTAATGTGGACCAGAACTTACTAGAATTCAAATAACCAGAGTGTCATTTTTCACCTTAATGTTACAGCTGCACAGCTGTGGCTGAGATGCAAACAATTTACTGAAGACCACACAATAGCAACAATGAGACTGGAACACAGGTCTGTCATATATGCTTCATTTTGCTAGGCTAAACTTGCTCATAGGTCCCACAACTTTTGCAAGTGGCCATTTGTTGCCGGGGGGGAGGGGGTAAACACGAGACTAGGTGTAATATATTCATGGGGAAATATAAAAATAATAAACAATAACATTTTCAGGACGTCTCCCAGCACAAACACATACACTCTAACTCTCTCTCTCTCTCTCTCTCTCTCACACACACACACACACACAATGTCATCATACTCATCTGTAAAGCATTCCTTTCTTTCAAATCATTATATCATCCTGAGTTGACCTACATGTGGAAATGTTATGAAAATAAACTAGGCAAAGCTGCTAAACGGTGCTCCTCCAATAAGCAACCAAGATCAAGCCCTGGGGTTGAATTTTAAACTATTTTTGTTCTGCGATACATCATACACCAATTGCCCTGGAGAGCTGCACAAAACAGAGTAAGAAATAATCTGGAAATGTCTGCAGATAATTGTTTTAACAACAAGAAAAAGGAGGAGAGGGGGAGGAAGAGGAGACCCATAACTCAAAACCAACAGTACTTTTAACCCAAACACTACCCATGGGAACTAAAACTGATGATTCTGTTAGATCCCCAAATGTATGGTTATTGAATCCTAGAGAACAGAACATCTATGTCATTATGGATGTATGCATGAAACGTGTATAATAGGCTTTGGTTACTCTGAGCTTCTGGAACTCTGCACCAATAAATAACTTCGGTGATGAGACCAAAGTTTGAACACTGCATTATAATTTATACATTGCACTTTAATGGGTTTTTATTGTGCAGAAGCTTTCATTCCTTTTACTTTTCACACAAACAGGGAAAGAAAAATTGAGACTTGTAGTACATTAGGCAGCAACAAAGATGAAAGTGAAATAAGTGGTGGGAACTTGCAGGTACCTGTCCTATTGCTTAGAAGCCTCTGCAAAATCATTCTTTTTTTCTTGGTACTATTTATGTCTTAAGGTCAGGGCTGGCACTACACTTTAGGGAGCCTTTGACACAGTGCTGAAAATGCTCCCCTTGATCCTGGCAACTCTGCCTACTGTTGCATGGGAGGGTGTTAAGCACCTTCTCTCCCAACATCACCTCCTCTCCAAAACTAAGGACAGGACACTATTTTGTGTGAGGGCAGCAACAGCACACCCTCCCACTGGTCTGTATCCACTACCCTCCCTGTTAGGACCCCAAAGCTATTTCAGCACCACTGCTTTTGAGCTTGACCCAAGGTCAGCTCCCATCAGTGTTCAAAATTAGCCAGGCGCAAGGCGTATTTTGCACCTGGCTATCAACCACTTGTGACCAAGTGAAGATACCTGAGCTCCAGGATCATTGGATCATGGGTGCATGCCTGGGGATCATTGAATCTTGACTCTTTTCACACACTAATACCACATCCTGTAGAATTCTATCAGAAGAAGACGAAGAATTTGGACTTGATACCCCGCCTTTCACTCCCCTTAAGGAGTCTCAAAGCGGCTAACAATCTCCTTTCCCTTCTTCCTCTACAACAAACACTTTGTGAGGTGAGTGAGGCTGAGAGACTCCAGAGAAGTGTGACTAGCCCAAGGTCACCCAGCAGCTGCATGTGGAGGAGCGGGGAAGCGAACCCGGTTCACCAGATTACAAGTCCACCGCTCTTAACCACTACACCATGCTGGCTCCCAGTATCAGTTATATTTTATCTGCACGATCAGAATGAATTTCAGAAAGCAACATGCTTTTTTCTGTGCAGCCTGAGCAGGAGCAGGAGTGAAGAATGTTATAGTTAATTGTTGTAGCTTGTCTTCACTTACCCCACTCCACTGCCCTGCTCACAGTTATGAAGAATATTCTTACAATATGAGTTTATTGTTCTTGTTTTTTGAGAAAGCTTTTAAGCATATGGTCTCCAGCCTGTAGTCTGGTGGACTCTACTATGTAAACCCTGCTGTATGTCTGTCTTTAAAGTATTAATAACAGCAAGAGTCCTGTGACACCTAAAATGGTGTAGGCTTTCATGGACTACAGCCCACGTCATCAAATGCACAATGTAAGATATTAATAAAGGAAATCCCTGAGTAGAGCCATATTTCAAACACAAGAACAGTCAGGAACACTGAACATCTACCGTCTGTTTCTAAGTATATAGATACTACATGTTCTATGATGTTTATAGTTGACATCTCGCTAACTATTCTAAATGCTGGGGAAACAGACAAAGTAAATCTTAGGTCCAATATTTTATTCCCCACTGAACATTAGGGCATCATGATGAGTCCCATGCCTTCCTTTGTGGCATGCTTTGACCTTACCAAACTAGTGAAATGGAGGTGGGGAGGGACTTCACCTTGGAAAAAACTATTCAGTAGATTCCTGCCAGTAAGTGCTCTACCAAAAATTGGAAAATGTTGGTTTTCAGGAGATCAATAACAGAGCAAAGCATGTATTAATTGGTAGATGCATAAAATTCAACATGTGCAACTGTAATCTGGACTTTTAAAAATATTTGAAATACTAATTTCTAATGGAACAAATGGAACATATTCAAGCTCGGTTGCTTTTGTCCTTTTGATTCTGGAACTCATTCCTGAGCTTGCTCTGCACAAATGCCAGAATGCTTTATTTTGCTTCATCACAGATTAATTGGTTTTATGGCAACTACAAATAGATTACTTCATCATCAGGGTAACAGAGTACCAAGTTTCAGCCTCACAAACTTGTTTTGATCCTTTTAAATGAGAGGGCTATAAAACAGAACGGTTAAGCATGCCACCTGTCAAGAAGCAGATAGACTTGTCTTTCATTTCAATCTAGTATGGTTGGTAACTTAATATAACGTATCTGCAAATCCTCAAGAAATTTAACTGAGGTTAGAAGATAAAGTACAACAAGTTAATGTGCAATAAGAATCTCTTTGTGCCGTTTGCATGACTACATGACTTCAGCGTGACTAAGAATGTGAGCTGGTGCAATCTGTTCCCTTTATAAGTTACTGGATCATTGAAAAAGTCTCTCCTCCCCACCCTCAATGAAGCGGGGGGCAAGAACAGGAGAAAGCTTTGTATCCCATGCAGCATAGTTTATTGCCAGCAAATTTTCCAGCCATGGCTGAAGTCCTATAAAACACATATTTAATATTCATGCTTATTTTTCTGTACAGGATTACAGTGGGCTATGTCCAACTAAGTTCTACTCAGAGTAGTCATGTCCATTAATTTCAGTGTGTCTACTCCAAGCATGACTGGCACTGAATTTAACAGAGTATGCATACAAATTATGTTTTCCTAGAAATGAGTGGGAAATTTATGAAGGATTCTTAGACTTTGGTATGAAGATACAACTGGAGGCTGTCTTTTCATCAGCATTTTATGGCCATAAAACCATGGGATTGTGATTAATCGTTATCAAAAACATGGGAATGTGATTAATGGTTATCAAAACCATAAATTATTTGAAACAACAGTTAAAAGCTCCAGTTTCTCAGTGCAGCTTCTTCCCTCTACATGGCCATGTGAGACCAAGTGCCCAATGAAAACGACAATAGTAGAAGAGCCCGTGGACAGCAAGAGAACACAATAATTCATCATTATTGGCTTACATATGTTTCATAGAATTATAGAACAGTAGATTTGGAAAGGACGCTGAGGATCATTTAGTCCAACCCCCTGCAAAGCAGGAATATGCATCTGTCCTGTAGGGGGATCGAACCTGCAACCTTGGTATTATCAGCACCATGCTCTAACCGACTGAGTTATGTTTCTTTAGCTTTCATAATTTTTCAGTAAAATGCTAAAATCCTGCCATTCCTTTACTCTTCCTTTTTCATATTTTAAAATTCCTTGCTAGTTCCAGCCATAGCTGTCAACTTACAGATTTGAAAATAAGGGACCAGCAGCCTCGAAAATAAGGGATCAGCAGCCAAAATAAGGGATCAACAAGTAATAAAATATAAAATATATATTTGATAAAATATATATTTTGTTGCATGCAAATGGCTTTAGATACCTATTAGGTCCATAAATTACCATATAGCATATATTCAACACAAAAAAAGCCACAATTTGTTGCTGACAAAGCACAGCTGGACATAGAAAGGGCCCCATTACCTTCAGTAGCTTATTTAAGGAACATCATCAATAAGGGACAGCAGCGGGACATGGCGCTGGGATAAGGGACTGTCCCGCCAAATAAGGGACGCTTGACAGCTATGGTTCCAGCTCTTATCAAAATGGCAGTTGCCAATCCAAATTCTTTAGTATAAGTGAAAACCTATCCATGGCAGTACCTTGGAGCATTTTAAAGTCATATGACACCTATTAATTATAGTGAAAATTATTTGTGCTATTGTATATTCTTTGGAGTTTTTTCATGACATTACTGTCATTGTATATTAAGTTTTGATTCACTGAAAATTATATTTTAAAAAAATACAACTCTAGGATGTGAATCCAAGTATTGATATAATTCAGAACCGACGTTAAGTAAAGCATGACTCTGGAGTTGTATCATAACAATTAAAACAATTTACATCAGACCACTCGTGGTCTGCAAGCCTCATTCAGGCCATCTGCAGCATGCCTGTGAGTATGTGGTTGAATATAGGAGATGGAACATCAATCACATTTAATATTCATATTTTAAATTGCATTTTTATTGCTTATTTTATTTCTTATATATGTATTTTATTATGTTATAGTTTGAATTCTATGAAATTACAATTAAAATACAACTAAAAATCATGCCGTATCTAGCACAGTACACTGCAATTGCAGCACCAGGCAGAACAACCATTAACTTGTCTGCCAAGACCTTCAGCGATTTTCAAGTGGTCCATGGGAAATAAAAGTTTGAGAACCACTGATTTAGGCACTTCAAAACTTATTTCTAACGAGGCTATGTGAAGTTTGAACTTTTATATCCGTGTGAAAAATTGACCACATATATTACATTGCTAAGATACCATTGTAAAGTTCCCGTTTTGAAAATGTCCCAGCTTAGCTTATCTAGCAAGATTTTCCAAATCAGTTGACTATTTGTTAGTTCCTCAGTGCGTAAAGCAAATCACTACAGATCCTCAAATTCAGCTTTCCACATTCAGCTGCTTATGGAGGCCTAGTGACTTACTAATGTGTAAATAATTGACTCATCAAGCAAAAAGACACAAAAGCAAATAGATCAATATCCCACTTGCAAACTTGCTTACAGAGCTCAGAAAAACCTCAATTCACTTTATTTCCTTTATTTCATTCAATGAGTCAATTAACTCTGCAGAGCCCTATGATCTAATTCAGCATGTATAATGATCAACAATTGCTGACACTTTTGATTAAACTTTTAAATTGCCTCTTAATATAATTTAAACATGTGGGGGTGGGGCAGGGGCACAGCTATTGACTGAAGTATTCTAAAATGTAACACAGTGACTCAAGTTCTGAGAAGTCCAAATAGCCACTTTAGGTGACGGGAACCAATAGCTTTTAACGTTATCTCACATCAGTGTCACATGAATTTTGTGCAAGGGTTTGAAGGATGCTTCAAACTCACACATACACGAATAATCTCATTATGCCACCCTTGTTTTCTACTGATTACAGGCATTATTCACATTTTTCTACAAAATTTTACAGACTTCCACTGACAGAAGGCGCATAGTGGCCCAAAGCTTGTCAGCTAAATCACTTGCTTGGATGAATTAAGGAACATGTCACCCACCATCATTAACCAGGACAAAAATCTGGGGACAGGCCAAGCACTAATCCCCTCCACCAACCTCCTTTGCATGCCAGGATGTAGTATGGTATCTGGATGGAAGTGATCCTTTTCCATCTCTTCTTTCATTTAGCCCCAGAAGAATGCATGGAACAGAACCTGCAAAAGATCAGCTGTTTGGGTCACCACTTTGGGAACACTATGAGTGGAAATCCAATGTGTTTATAAGTAAACAAAAACAAATAGCTGCTATCCTTTTCTTGCCTGTTTTCCATGTGACTGGTAAAGTTTTGTTAAAATGGTGCAGAAATCTAAAACACTTATTGAGATATTTTTCTCTTAAAAATCAGAACTTTCTTTAAAAAAAACAAAAACCCCCAAAAACATAGCCTTTGAAAGGAAAGTTGTTAAAAGTAATAAAGGGAGAAAGTTAGGATGGGTGCCTGGGGAGACTGTCCCACACATTGCATGTAAAGGGTAGATTTGACTGTGGAAGGAACAGAAGTGTCCTCATCTGCAGGTAGACCTGCCAAAGCATAAGTTACTGGTTGCAGTAATTCTTCTTCTCCATGCCCTTTTGTTTCAACAGAATCCTTGCAAGTGCAAAGAACAGACACTTTGCCATCTACATCAGCCACACTTGTTCTGGAGGGGAAAAAACCAAGAATAAGGGGAAAGAAGCCTAGGGAACAGCCACCAAATGTAATCAAGCCATTTGTTGTACAAACAGCCAAAATTAAAGCCTTAAGTTCACCCCTAGCTTTGACCCTACCATTCTCATATATTGGATTTCTTAGTGTATTTGAGCTGAGCCATCTGACTGCTGAGCTATCACTGTGTAACACAGTTCCTGACACCATTTACAAAATGTTTCCTGCGTCTCTTCTGGGTGGTAGCCCAAAGTCCAACAATAAATATAAGAACTTGGCTAGGGTTGAACATAAAATTATACAATTGAAGCCACAGACCAACAAAATGTTCATAAGCTTAAACATACATTCATAGAAATGCAGGGAAATCATGGAGGAGAATGTGTTGTATCCTTGCTTTTCTTCCATGTCACCTTCTGTCTTTATGTATACTACAGGAAAAAAGAAGAAGAATCCCAGCTGAAAAACCCTGTTCCATTTGTCCTCTAGGATCTTGCCATGCACTGACAACAGCCAATCCCTGAATTTCTAGGTATGTTTAACTGATTGTCACACTTAATGGGCTGCAAAAAGACCTCCTCCAACAAAACACAACCCAGCACCAAGGGAAGCCAAGAAATCACTTGCTGCTAATAACTGGCAAAACTCCACTTGGCTGGGCCTTTTTCCAGCTCCCCCCCCCCAAAAAACCACTCATAATAACCTTGTGTCTTTTTGAGTTTTTAAGAGAAACCCAATAGGTGAAATATGCCTCTTCCTAGAGCTGGCCTGCCCATGAGGTAGACTGAGGCAGCTGCCTTGGGCAGTGGAATCCTGCAAGGGTGGTGTCCCACAGGCGTCCCTGCAGCCACCCCCAAAGAAGGAAGGAGAAGTGGTGGCAGCTTCTGGAGAGATCTTGCAGTTGCCACCACTTCTCACTTCTCCCATGGCAGGGGGTGCTGCACCCACCTGCCCCCACTGCCATGAAAGATAGAAGTGGCTGTTGCTTCCAGGGAGATCTCATAGACTTCTTGTGAGATCTTGCCAGAAACCACACATTAAGTATAATGGTTTAATTGACACAGAAATGAAGAATGGCTGGAGGTATATTGCAAAAGGTTTAACATGGTGTTGTTGTTTTCCCATGAGGCTATATCAAAAGCAGGGAACACTTTGAGCTCTTGCTAAGTTAATGATTAACTAGCAGATTGTTGTTTTTCTGGTAGTTAACATGTGAGTCTTGTAACCTTAGATCATGTGATAAAGGTATTGAGTTGCAAATCTCCATTTTTAAGGGAGTTGCCTTTGTGTCTTTTTTCCCAAACTCAATGGAGTGAAGATGTAAAATAAGCTCTTCTGAAGGGAGAATAAACAGCCTGGAGGCAAGAATGCAGGCTGCAGAAAGAGAGAGAGAGACCTATGCTTTTATGTGTGTTTGGATTATTTCATATTTTGTAAGATGCTGAGCTTGTGCTGGACAGCATAAGACATTGCATGGATATTTTGGACATATCATTTGATGTATTCTGCTTTATTTTAAAGAGTTCTGTCAGTAAAAGTTTGAATAATATTTTTATGGGTCTGGGCAATGATTTATTCCAAATAGGAGTCAGTTCTTATGCTTCCAGTTGCTTCAAACTGTGCATTATTAATATCTGCAACACCACAGCCATGAGACCCTGGTAATTAAGGCTTCAGCAGAGGGAAGGCAAAGCGGGATGGACCACCCCTGCCTCTTCCACGCCAGTTTCCCCAGTCCTTTCCCACCTCCCTTCTCGGAAGCAAAATGTTACTGTTTGTAAGGAGGGGTATTGCAGGAGATTGTGTAGTGGTAGAGGCAAATTCAATTATAATAAAAAGGGCCCAAATTATTATTATTATTATTTGTACCCCATCCATCTGACTGGGTTGCCCCGAGCCACTCTGGACAGCTTCCAACATATAATGTCTCTGCTTATTTATCTTTTTATATAAGTTCTGAGTTATGTCTCCTCCAAATAAAACTGAAACTCTTAAGGACTTCAGATTTCCTTTACAGCTGAAGGAAGAAAATACAAGAGGGAGAGAGAGAGAGAGATTTCATAAAGAGAAAATCAGTGCAATTGCATGTAAATGTTTACTGTATTCTAAAGTAGAAGCCAAATATAGAACAATTCTGATTCCTCTCCACACCCCTTACAAATTCTGTATTTTTGGATCCCAGCAGGAGCTCATGAAAACAGATACTTTGAAACTTTGATATTCCATTTCTGGATTTCAGTACCGATAGGACAGGAAAACTGTGTAGATAAATTTCTTTAATCTTAAATGCTGAGTAGATTATAAGATTTAAAGTAACCCCTCTAAAAGCTATATATTAACAGGACATAAATCCTCTTTTTCCTATTACTAAAATTTAAGAGTGGATATTTACATGTTATTC